GGCATTAGAACTTAGATCTCCTGATTCCAAGTGCACTGCCGATGGCACTCTATTTGATTGCATTTTCCACACCATACGTAATTCTTTTTTTTTTTTAATAAATTTTTTTAAATATATTTTTTATTGATTTTATACAGTGAGGAAGGGAGAGAGATAGAGAGTTAGAAACATCGATGAGAGAGAGTCATTGATCAGCTGCCTCTTGCACACCCCCTACTGGGGATGTGCTCACAACCAAGGTACATGACCTTGACCGGAATCGAACCCGGGACCTTTCGGTCCCCAAGCCGACGCTCTATCCATTGAGCCAAACCGGTCCCGGCCACACCAGAATTCTTGTTTTGTATTTGGTGCATTTAATCATGGCTTTGTCACTTAACCAACCATGAGACCTTGGAAAGTTACTTAGCCACTCTATATCTCAGCTTACTCTTCTGTAAAATAGGATAATAATATCATTACCTTCTCTTTGGGATTGTTAATAGGATTAGATGAACGTATACATTTAGCATGTAATAAGTACTCAATGCATGATGGCTTTAATCTGATAATAAAAAAGTAGTATTAATAGTAATTCAAGGAATTGTATTTAATTATATATAACCATATTATTCTTAGCTTATTAATTTGGTGAAGTTCATGTTCCTTTTGACTCTTCTAGAGTGCTAGTAGTAGTTTTTTGGCAGGTCATAGTAGAGGAATTAAGGCCAAAAGTAATGAAGTGATTTGCCCTGAGTCACCTTGCTAGACTAATTCCAGGTTGTCTGAATTCTAATGCTTTGTCACTGGATATGCTTCCTCTCTAATTAAGTAACTCTATTAAAATGGAGCACAATGTCCATTTTGTTTTGGCCTCAAAAATTAATTCTACTTTATCTCTCAAACATAGCTTACAACTCAGCATTCTTATTTATGTTATCTTTTAAGTTACAGTAATTTTGAAAGTATTCTAAGAATTTACAATAGTTGAAGTTGAAAATTGAAAACCTTGTCATTAAAAAGTAACCCCATAATTGAAAGATGTTATACATTTTGTTTCATTTGCATTAAGTTGATGTCCTTAATCCATTTAACTTTTAAGATTGGAGATAGTTTAGCACAGTGGTTGGCAAACTCACTAGTCAACAGAGACAAATATCAACAGTACAAAAATTGAAATTTCTTTTGAGAGCCAAATTTTTTAAACTTCTAACACCATTTCTTCAAAATAGACTCGCCCAGGCCTTGGTATTTTGTGGAAAATCCACACTCAAGGGGCCAAAGAGCCACATGTGGCTCGAGAGCTGCAGTTTGCCAACCATGGCTTTAGGTGATGGGAATTTATTGTTGGATTCTTGTGGGAAGGAAGGTAGCCCAACAGTCACTGCAGTTGTACTGAATTCAGTCTTTGGAAACTAACAAGTTGTCTCCTCAATCCACACCTTCTTGCCCTCAACTTCCTTCCACCAAGTCATTTTCATGTGAAATCAATATGTTTAAAACAGGTAAAAATTTAAGATTAGAGGGTTGGTCTCTGTTACCCTCTTTTCCCTCTTGTGCCCTCACATTTCCTCCTCTTTTTCTCTTCACCTTAAGGCCCTTTTAAGATCTGTAGTCCGTATGAAAGAAAACTGTAACAACAAGTCATTACTCACTAACTAGAATAGCGAGTAACTCTGTGGGCCCTGTTTTTGCTTTGGTGATTCATTGGCAACTCTAATAATTGCCATTCCCTTCAGATCTGTACCTACTGCTCTTTTCTCTGGTCACCATTTGGATCTACTAAGTCTCCACTTGCTGACCATAAACCCAGTTCTAAATTAACTGCAGCAGTGACAACTCTAAAAATTGGATTAAAATATTCATATTTCTATTTTCTTAATTTTCCCTAAAGGCACACATCCCCTCTTGATAATCTTCCTACTCTACATTTTTAGAAAGTTTGGGAGGGGAATCCTGGGAAGTAGAGTGGTTTCATTTCCTTCTTCTCATGTTATTGTACAGCAAGCCTAGTACCTTTATTTTTTTGTCTGTGTTGTACTTTTAATTTATCCTTACTACTTGTATTTTTGTTGTTGCCAAGTTTGAGGTTCCTTATTCAGTAGCTGGTTTCATTTGGTTAAGGCAGAAGGATTTGGCAAGGTGAAGGTGGTTATGAGAAAGTGATAAAATTGGAAAGAAAGGCAGGTGCTGGGTTAGATGGTCAGAGCCTTGTATCTCATTTCAAGGAATTTGTATGTTATAGTTAGTGGAGAGCCTCTAAAAAAATTGAAATAGATGAGGGACATAGGAGAGGGGTTGCAAGAGGGGAATGACAAGGTTATTAATTTTTTAAAGGTAACTTTGATATCTGTGTTGAGGAAGATAAATAGGAGAAGGTACCTTATAGAAAAGAGAGCGGTGGTCTTCAGACTAACAGCAGCATAACACCTGGGAAATGCAGATTCTCAGGCCTTCCCTCAGACCTATTGAATCAGAAAATCTGGGGGTGGGGTGCAGCAGTCTGTGCTTTATTTGATTCTGATGCATGCCAAAGTTTGAAAGGAGGGATATGGAGACCATTGAGATTACATTTCAGTTTCCAAAAGTTTTTCACATTAATTACATAGTTGATTTAGTTGAGATGTTCATTATGTTTGTGTTTTATATTCATAACTAGAGGCCTTGTGCATGAAATTCGTGTGTGGGCGGGTGCCCCTCAGCTCAGCCTGCACCCTCCCCAATCTGGGACCCCTCAAGGCATTTCCCACTGCCCATTTAGGGCAGTCAGACATCCCTCTCATAATCCAGGACTGCTGGCTCCCAACTGCTCACCTGCCTACCTTCCTGATTGCCCTTAACCACTTCTGCCTGCCAGCCTGATCACCCCCTAACCTAGGGGTGTCGAACTCAATCAGAGAAGGGGCCAAAATCTAAAATCCAGCCTAAATCGAGGGCCGAATGGTTTACTGAACATTCATAAACTGTCATTGTGATGGAAACGCAGCGGAGTGCAGTGATGACAGCGCGGTGCGGGCCACATTGCAAGGCCTGACGGGACGGATTTGGCCCGCGGGCCTTGTGTTTGACACATGTGCCCTAACCACTCCCATGCCAGCCTGATTGATATCTAATTGCTCCCCTGCCAGCCTGTTTGCCCCCAACTTCCCTCCTCTGCTGGCCTGGTCACCCCTAACTACCCTCCCCTGCATGGTTGATTGCCTTCAACTGCCCTCCCTTGCAGGCCTGGTCCCTCCCAACTGCCTTCCCTTGCTGGCCATCTTGTGGTAGCCATCTTGTGTCCACTTGGCGGTAGGATCTTTGACCACATGGGGGCAGCTTTCTTGATCTTGTGTGTTGGAGTGATGGTCAATCTGCATATTACTCTCTTATTATTGTAGATAGGATAGAGGCCTGGTGCATGGGTGAGAGCCAGCTGGTTTGCCCTGAAGGTATCCCAGATCAGGGTGGGGGTTCCCTTGGGGCGTGGGGCAGTCTGGCCGAGGGGCCTGTGGTGGTTTGCAGGCCAGCCATGCCCCCGGCACCCCAAATGGAGGCCCTGGTATCTGGGGTTTATTTATCTTCTACAGTTGAAACTTTGTAGCCTGGAGTGGGGGCCTGGGCCAGCCAGAGCAGGGGGAATACTTGGCTTCCTCTGTCACTGGGGGCAACCTAGCCTGCTCTCTCCAGCTCCATGGCTGCTGCCATTTTTCTTGGGATTTATCTTCTATAATTGAAACTTTGTATCCTTGACTGGAGGCCTGGCCAGCCAGGATGTGTGGAAAGCTTGGCTTCCTCCATTGCTGGGGAAATCCAAACCTCCCTCTTACTCTCTGTGGCAGCAGCCATTTTGGTTAGGATTAATTTGTATACTTGCTTTGATTGGTTGGTGGGTGTGGCTGGTAGATATGACTTAGTGTAGCAGAGTGATGGTTAATTTGCATATTACTCTTTTATTAGGTAGGATTCTATTTATAATCAAGAGAAATCCTATATAATAAAAGCCCAGTATGCTAAGTGTCCAGTTGTCCAGTTGGCCATTCAACCAATCAAAGCAAAATATGGTAAGGATATGCTAAAGCCACTCAACCTCTTGCTATGACATGCACTAACCATCAGGGGCCAGATAGATGACTGGTCGACCAGTCGCTATGAAGTGCACTAACTACCAAGGGGCAGACACTCCGAATGGTAGGTTAGTTTGCTGCTGGGGTCTGACTGATCAGGACTGAGCGAGACAGGCCGGAGATGCCCTGGAGCCCTCCCGTGGTTTCTCCCCCACTGGCCCCCTCCCTGGTCCCAATTGTTCATCTGGCCCTCTCACAATCCAGGCTGAGGGACACCCCCCCCCCCCCCCCCCCCAGTGCATTAATTTGTGCACCAGCCTCTAGTAGAGTAAATATTTAGGTTATTTTGATTGAGTTATTTGCATGTAGACCTACTATTAAAAGATTTGAAAAGCTGGGATAGTATGGTAGGTAATCTGTTATACTTGGGAAAGGGGAGACAGTCCAGGGTCGTGTGGGAAAATGAACTATGGTCAGTGGAAGTATTGAAATAGAATAAACAAGTAAGAGGTACTTAATTTTGAGTGCTCTAGATGTTTCCTGATTAAGACATTGGTTTGTAAAGTGGTACTTGGAATCTGTATTAGGGAAAACTGATGGAAGATATAAAAAGAGGAACTTGAACTCTGTGTGGAGTCTGAAGACAAGGATGATGGGTTTCCCCAAGATTTGTTAAGATGCTCTTGTTCAATTAGTTACACAGCTAGCAAGATGTGGTCTATTTTCAGTTTGTATGTAATTGCAAGCATCTGATTTGCAACTAACCCAGTCTTCATTTCTTTTTTCTTTGAGGTTGCAAAGGCTGTGTGTTTAAATTTCAACTTTGTTGAAATGGAACTAAAATAAATCTGATAATCTTCTCTATTTTCATCTGTTAGCTTTGCTAGGTGATCAAAAGTATAGATAAAGCAAATGCTTTGTAAATTGTGTCTTAAATGATAAGTAAAAATTTTCCCCCTTCACATTTTATTCCAGGACCCATCAGTTACACAGGTGACAAGAAATGTTCCACCAGGACTTGATGAATACAATCCATTCTCGGATTCTAGAACAGTAAGACTATTCTTAATTGGACTACTTTTAAATGTTAAAAGTGAAGTTAAATAGCAGTTATATATCAATTGTTTTTTTAGTTGAATGGTTAAATTTATTTAAAACAAGCTGTTAGTATTTTATTTATAATTTAGCAATTTAATTTTTTTTAAAAAACAGGAAGTAATATCAGTAGTAATTGAAATTTACTTTGATGGTCCTAGGGAAATACTGCAAATTTTCTTTTATGTTCTACAAATTAAATTGCTAACAATCCCTCGAATATGTAAATCTTACTGCAGTACTTTAAATAGAAGAGGGACTTTTTTGTGTGTTGGTTTTTTTTTTTTTTGTATATGTGTTGTCTTCATGGTAATGTGGGGTGATGTTTTCTTACAATGAAACAGACCTATGTATGTAACTGTATCATGAATATTTGTATGATTGTTATTTTTTTAATTAAATTATTATCTGTGTACATATACCATTGCTCCCCCCCATACATGCCCTCCCTCCCTGATTGTCATTTGAATTATGTTATTCTGAATAGTATTAGCCGCTGGTAGCCTAGAACTTTGGAACTTTACCTATGGAACTTTACTTGGCCTAGGAACATATTCTTCTCTTCAAAATTCATTGATCTATAAAATGTAGGAGTACGAGAAAAAATCATTGTAGACCAGGGGTTCTGTACCCTAGATGCATATTAGAAACACTAGAGGAACTTTACTATAATATCCATTAGTACCCTAATCTCTTATAGTTAGGGTAGTTTTGTTGTTTGTTTTTGTTTTAGCCCTTTCATTGTGAACCAATTTTGAGAACCACTGAGATAGATTCTGTTGAGAATTCTCTCTCAATTTCTCTGGCAAATAATTTTGTCTTCTGTGTTTGAGTGTTTGCTTAAGTATTATACTCATGAGGTCTCTAATTTTAGAAAATTATTGGCTCTTGAAATATTAGTCACCCTCTTAACAATACTAGAGTTTTGTGCTTGGTTGTACATATCAATATAATGATCCTTATTTGATCACCTTTTTCAGACATATGTTTTCATAGTATAGAAAATAATTGTAAAAAATTCCGTAGGAGCTTTGGTTAGGTGGTTCAGTTGGTTGGAGCATCGTCCCATACACCAAAAAGGTTGTGAGTTCGATTCCTGGTCAGGACACATACCTAGGCGTGGGTTCAATTCCTGGTTGGGCACATAAGGAAGGCAACCAGTTGATGTTCTCTTTCACATTGATGTTTCTCTCTCTCTCCCTCTTCCTCCCTTCTTTCTCACTTCTTCTCTCTAAAATCAATAAAACTTAACCTTAGGTGAGGATTAAAAAAATGTTATGTAGTGTTTCACTTGGAAAATTTTTCAAGATTATTATATTAAATATTTATTTTTTGGAAGAGCTTTATATAAAGTAAAAGCATTATGAGAGGAATGAATTTTTAAATTTAAAGCCCTCATTTAGCATCCTTTGCTGGTAAGTAGTATTTGCAACCCAGACTGGGATTACTACAGTGTTAATTGAGCGAGTAAATGTCAGATTGAACCATGTTAAATGGCCAATAAGTGGACCAGTTTTGACATGTAAAAATGTCAGTTTCATTTGGGGGGGGTGGAGATGGGAAAAAGACTTGAAGTCTACTGATAAAGATTAAAAAGAGGTTTTCATTTACTTTTTAGGAAGATTTTACTAGCAAGAAATAGGTTTAACCTTGACAGGAGCAACTTTACTTTTTTTTTTTTTTTTTAAATCAGTGATAGTATTCTTTATCAAGTTGTCTACTTTGTGCCATGTGCTTTATCCATATTGTCTTATTGGATTCTTATAACATTCAAAATGGCTATTTTTTTAATAAAAAATCTGAGATAAAGACCATTTAGCTTGTAAGTGGCAGAACTGGTTTACTAACTCATTTGTTTTCTATAAAACCTTTACCTTTTCCATTTTGCTAGTAGTGTCTTTAGATTTCCTTTTATATATAGTTTTCTGTTTGAATGGATATGCTAGGGTAGCGGTGGGGAATGTCCAGTCTGCAGCTGTATAAAAGCCTGTGAAATCACTTGGCCCTGCCAAGGCATTAGGGGTGAATTAATCAAATGTTTGACCAAATATACTAGTAGCAGGCTAATTTTTAAGTTGATAATTTTCTATGCCTTTGAATGATGTTATAAATATTTAAATGGCCCTTGGCAGAAAAAAGGTTCCCTACCGCTGCTTTAGGATATTTAAGGAAAGCAACAACTAAATATTCAAATAACTTAAATAATTTATATATTCACTCTATATTTTAAACTCAGAGAAGGGAGTTGTTACAGTATAAACTAAGTCTTTTGGCAGTATAATGGAAGGCTATTGAGCACTTGAATGTGGCTAATGTGAATTGAGATGTGCTATAAAAAAATGGATACTCTTGAGTTATGAAATCGCTTTTTTGTTCAACCTAAAATGCATTTTCCTAATGAACTTATGTTGAGCATGATGGGTGAGTTTCCTGGCCTATCTTCTAAAACAATGTATAAATTACTAGAAGAATTAGTTCATCTTTGAGAATTGGTACGTATTTATGGAGAATATTTCCCTTTTGAATTAGGTAACAGTTGAAAATACCTACTGTAATTTGGTTTTCACTAGTTTCAGCCACTGGTGCTAAGTAGTTGGTAACTTTAGGCAAACCATCTAATCTCTTTGAGCATCTTTTTTTTTTTTTTTTTTTTTAAATGTGTAAAAATAGAGGCAGGGTGGAAAGTGTTGATGAATTATTTCTAATGTAAGTTTTTCTTTTGAAAATGGATAAGAATTTTAGCTCCAGGGACTAAGGAGATAATTAGTTTGTCCCAATTTATCAGTAAATTCATTATTGAATTTAGTAATTCACCTATCTCTAATACCGAAAAAACATTTTCTGTACTATAATGCCTGTCTTTATTTTTTCATGTTGTTCGTTTCTTTTTTTAATCTTTTCCTTTTTCCTTTTTTTTAAAAATTTTTTAGAGCTTATAATCTGTTCTTTCCAGAACCAATCTTCTTTGTTTCTAATCCCAATTAATGGTAACTATTGCCTTCTATCCTCTTAGTATCATTGGTTAGAAATACCTGTGTCCTCTTTAGCTCAAAAGCTGCTGCTGCTTCTTTTTTAACACCTAATCAGTTGCCACATCCTGTCACTTATACCTCCAGTAGATATTACCAGGCTGTCCTTTTCATTCCTACTAAACTGTCCTAATTCAGGTACTCCTGTGAAATAATATAGTGGCCTATCCACTTACCGTTTTTCTTCTTTTTTTGTACTGTGACTGGAATTAGAATTATTTTCCTAAAGCAGAGGTCTCATTAGGTCTGCTCTCCTTAGAAATGTGCACATGGATTAGCATTGGCTATTTAGTAGTGTTGGCAATGTGGGGGCCCTACATGATTTGACCTCAGATTGCCTTAAAAATTGTTTTTTTCTAGACTCTTTTTTAGAGCAGTTTTAGGTTTACAGAAAAATTGAACAGAATCTATAGAGTCTTCATGTACTTACCTGCTAAACTGTTTTTTAGTGCTATCCTCTAATGTGCTATTTACTCTAGCTGAAGTCATGTACTGAGTAACATCCAACTCTATTGAGACCACTACCCCTTAGCCTTTTATCAGTCATTGAACTGAGTCAAGAGAGACTCTATGGTCATAATGCCTGGCTTTCCTACATTATCTTTACCTCCTTCACTGGGTCAAGATGAACCTCTCATACTAGATATATTACTTTTCTATTGCTGTGCAACAAATCACTACAAACTTAGCAGCTTGAAAAACTGCACATTTATTATTTCACAGTTTCTTTTTTTTTAAATAATATTTTTATTGATTTTTTTACAGAGAGGAAGGGAGAAAGATAGAGAGTTAGAAACATCGATGAGAAACATCGATCAGCTGCCTCCTGCACATCCCCTACTGGAGATGTGCCCGCAACTAAAGTACATGCCCTTGACTGGAATCGAACTTGGGATTCCCCCAGTCTGAAGGCCAACGCTCTAATCACTGAGCCAAACTGGTTAGGGCTATTATTTCACAGTTTCTCAGTCACTTGCTTAGGGTTTCACAAGGCTGTGATCAAGGTGTTATCTGGGCAATAATATCATCTATAGAGACTTGATTGCAGAAGAATCTGCTTCCAGGCTTATTCAAGTTGTTGACATTGCTGGCTCTCAGCTGTAGATAGCCCTCAGTTCATAGATGCCATCCACAGTTCCTTGCATGTAGCCTTCTCCAACATGCTCACTTAACTTCATGAGGTCTTTAGAGTATCTGTCCTTTTAGCTTAATAAGATGAAGTCTTATATATCCTACCTAATAAAAGAGTAATATGCAAATTAACCATCACTTGGCTCAAGCACACCCACCAGCCATGGCCATTTAACTGTCCACACTCTTCTCCCTCTTTACTTATCTTTAAAATCTCTTCCCCATCTTTATTCTTGGACGATAACCTTGCTTATTTTACTGAGAAAGTTAAAGCAGTCTATAGAGAACATCCAAGGATTTCCACCATCACATTTACCTACTAGCATTTACACTCATATATACTGCTTTCTTATTTACAGATGAAACAGCTGTGCTTCTGTCTAAAGCCATTCTTTCTATTTGTGCACTAGATTCTATACCTCCTCACCTTAAGAACTTTGCTAAATTTCCCCCTCCTGCATCATCTCCCCCTCTCCCCACCTCACTTTCTGCTGGATTATTCCTATAAAAAGTATGTTGTGCTTTCTTACATCTGAGGGGGAAAAACAAAACCCACTAAAATTTATTCATGTGTTTTAACTGCTTTAAAAAAACAATTAATATAACATGAACTCATTTAAAATGTACAACTCAGTGTTTTTAGTGTAGTCATAGAATTGCACAAGTATTACCAAATTCTAATTTTAGAATATTTTTGTAACTCCCACTTCCAAAAGAAACTCTGTACCATTTAGCTGTCACTTCTCATTCGCCCTCCTTTTCAGCTCTAGACAACTACTAATTTATTTTCTGTTTCTA